TATCATATTTCAATTCAGCTTCCATTGATTCTATTTAATGAAGTGTCAGGGACCTAAACATCCATTGATTCTATTATAAAATATGATCTTGAATAATTTAAAATCTTTTTAACCCACATACAGTTCACATTATTAGCACAATGCCCGCACCAAACGAGCTAATAGTCCCTTAATATAAAGTGTTTATCAAACAGTCAAACAGCGTGGCTTCCTTTCATAATGAAAAAAAAATCAAATTCGCACATACATGTCTCGAACAACAAAAAATGAAGTTACTAACGTAACAAGCTAACCAATAAACTATGCAAGGGAGAAGAAAAGCTTGGTGGAAATTGTTAGTATTTAAACATGTGTGAAATTGTATTTTCATTATAAATTTGCCGATTATAAATGATCTTTATTACCCAAATCAATGAAAATTATTTTATAACCTTTTAAAAAAGGCTTAATTATATAATGAGTACTCCAATTATTCCACTTTTCATGAATAGGTGTATAGACTTTATTTTGAATGATCCAGGTGCCTACGTTACCACTTTAGGTGTTCGGACCGTAACTGTTATTAATTTTCTCCGTTAAGTGTCACATGTCACATTCTAGTAATTTTAAAATTTATATTTAAAAAAAATTAAAAAAATATTTATATTTATAAAAAAACTCTAATTTCTGTTAAATTACAAAAAACCCCTAAATCCGTAAAAATCCTAAATCCCTAACCTATCACCGCCACCCTTGTCGGCCATGGCCACCACTATCAACGTAGTCCCTATCATATTCTTAGTCATATACCGCCATAGTTGTCGCCGATTGACTGTCAGAATCGTGTGGGATTGCGATTTTCATCTTAGAGTTCACGGGATACAAAACGCCGATTGGTCGTCGGTTGATCGTGATTTCATAGGATTATTGATCGTCGGGAAGGTGAAGTCGGGTAGAGCTTTATCGACGTCAAAGGGCGCAGGTTGGCATGTGTTTAGGGGTTGAAATGAAGAATTTCAAAGTTTTGTGACTATTTCAAAATTTTTGTGTGTTTTTTAAAAGTATATTATTTTATTTTTTAATATTAATTAAAATTTTTAAAATTACTAGAGTGTGACATATGCTTAACGAAGAAAATTAATGATGTTTATGACCCGGACACTTAAAATTATAATATTTTTAACGTTGAACACCTAAATCAATAAAAATATATAAACACATGTTTGTGAAAAGTAATTTAAACACTTATTTTATAGTTAAGCCTTTAAAAAATTAATTGCAAATATAAAATACTAACCAAAACTGGAAATAAATGTAAAATAAAAATTAGGCCAGGACAAAGCGCGGGACATCATCCATGTGGCACGCGTTTTTAGCCACTTATTGTTTTTTGGCCGATGAAATGAAATTATCGCGTATTTTTGTAATTCGATAAAATGAGATTCAGTAGCCCTGCCTAATTTTAAATGATACTACTAGAAATCGAAATCCTAGGGCTAATTTTGTATCAAAAGAAACCGCCAAAATCCCCTTTAGCGAAATCCATTTTTTCATACCCTTACCTTTTTAGCTATTTTTCCCTGCGAAAAAAAATGTCCCCTAATTTTCATTTATTTCATCGATTCACATTGAATTTTGATCGGCATAGGGAAATTTCGCCTTCAATTTTCAGGTAATGTTTGCTTTCGGTATAAAATTTCTGTGAAATGAATGCTGTTTTTTCTTCGTTTCATTGTCAACGAAGATGAAAAATTTTAGTAATTTCATATTTCGATTAGGGAAAAAATTAAATATGTCAATTTGAACCGTGTGATCTTTTGATTCATCATATTGTCAACTGAATTATATTTTACGTAGCTTTCAGGAAATGTCATTGCTTATCGAGCATAATCGACGTGTTAATGATTCGATGCAGTAATACGTTAATTAATTAAAAAAAGATTATTGAACCTATAATCACCTTATCAAGATTTCTAGGCCGTAGGTGGCAGTGAACTAGATGTTAGCTGGTAATTTTTCTTCCTATAGTAGGAAAAAGGTATTTGAATTTCAGAACCGAATTTGGAAATAAATGAGTGGGGGTTGTAGTTTCCTTTGAAGTTGAAATCTCAAACCTTAGACACCATTATATGCATCATCCGATCCTTTGAAATCCGGATTTATTAATGGACCACCATTTTTTGGTGGGCCTTATCATTGAAATCATATAAAGCTATGGCGTAGAACAATTGTTGTATATTTTAGGGAAAAAAACATTAAAGGTCCCTGTATTTTTGAAACAAAATTAATGCGACCCTATATTATTTTTCTCTTAATGCGGCCCTCTAACTCAGAAAATAAACCCATTGTAGCCCTTTGATCAACATTGTTTCGTCATTGACTGTTATATTGCTGATGTGGCAATTCACAACGCTGATGTGACAGTCCACGGTGCAGACATGGTAGTCCAGGGTGGTAGATTAACATGGCGGATGACATGGTAGTCCAGGGTGGTAGATTAACATGGCGGATGACATGGTAGATTGGTTAAATTGGTAACTCAAACATGGCATATAGACTGCCACGTCAGCATCGTGAACTGACAAGCTAGTACTGTAACGGTCAACGACGAAAAACGTTGGTCAAAAGGCTACTTTGGGTTTCATTTCTAAGTTGGAGAGCCACATTGAGAGAAAAAAATAACATGAGGACCAAATTGATTCTTTTTCAAAAGTAAGGGATCTCTGATGCCTTGTTGCCTATATTTTATTCAGATTTTGATGCATGTGACATACGGACATGTAATTGACATGAACATGTTTTGTAATTTTTTAAATTTTTTCTAGGATCATATCCCTACAATCATGCCATGTTGTGCTCAGGTGAAAAAAAACATTTGGTGCAACCTAAATTGCTATAGTTCTTGTTAGATTTAGATTCCTCTGCTGAAGGATTATTCCTTGATGCATAACTGTGTTCAAGGATACAAAGGGTATATATATATACTTCTTCTTTTGTTAGTGGGATTAGTTTGCTCTCATTAAGTAGGATTGATGCAATTATTATAAGTTTGAATAGTAAAAATATATGGACTTTATTTAGGGTGGAGTTGGCAAATTGGGTAGTTAATTTACATCCCCTACTAAGAATTTTGACTAGATTGTATTCTAATAAATGAATTCTTAATGCAGTTAGGTCAAGAATGCACTGGGAAGATTTTGACAGGTATGCCTTGTTACTTTTTTTTTCAAAGTCAATTTTGCCAGAGTTTGAATTTTCAGGAGTTTGGATAAATGCCTGATGAGCAGTCCTTGTGCGGATGATGAATCAGTTTACTTCTATTTCAACTTTGTTTATGATGAAATGCAATTTTTTTGTTTTGGTTGGGAAGGAGAAACAAAGGGTAAACCATCTAAAAAGTGTGGGGAACGCCCAAGCTGTTTTTGTGGATATGCTTGATTTAGGACTTTCTATGTTTGAATGTGGCAATGTCAAAATAATTCACTAATCTTATGTCACCTTTGGTCTCATAGATTTAGTTTGATGTGTTTGAGATGGAGAATGCATTTTTTTGCTCAGGGATTCATTCTTTAAACTCGCTGCAAATTTTGTGTTGGAGAAGAAGCAATACAGCCCGGAAAAGACCTCTAGGGGTTACCCTGATACTCAAAAGTCCAGAACAATGGAGCATGTGGAAGTGACTAAAACAGGTTTGTACAAGATGATGGAACCCCAGGCTACAATCTATGATCTATTATCATCATCTGATATGTTGGATATACATAGATAGCATGAGTTCCATAATAGAAACATTTTCACCGTAGTTTATTGAGTGTATCTAAAGTTTGTTTTAATGAATTATCTCTATAGGTTTTATCAGCTGCCTATAAAGTTTTCCTTTTTGTTTCTTAATGTAAATCTTAATGGATGCATATTTAAAAAGATGTGCATTTTATATACATTTTGACTAAACGTAAGACAATGTTTGCAAAAGTTAAAATCCCATATTGCCATGCTCAAGTAGTTGTATTGCTTGCCTTATATATCCACTCCAATTATGCATATGTTTCAGCCAAAGCAGGGTCCTGGGAAATCACTTCCTAACCTTACTTTACCCTACAAAGGAAAACTGAGTTATGACTGTCACCAACAAGTGTTGGGTGCAGTGATAATGCACATTCCACTTCCTTGGTTCGAATTTGGAGACTTTGTTGGGAGGGACGATCATGAACTCCGAAAAGGATTAGTCTTCATGGACCATAAAACGGATATGGAGTACACCTTAATTCCGAAAAAAAGAAAAAATGAGTTGTCTGTCAGCTTATGAGTAATACTTTGACCACCTTATATAGCTGGCATTGTTTAATGTCAATTGCTTTTGTCAAATCTCCTGGTAGGTGTTTGTGGTATTTATTCAGCGCTGTAAGATTTTCATTTGATGCTGATGTATCAGATTCAAGATTTCCATTTTTTTAATGCAGATGTTGAAAGGAAAGTGAACAGAGTCCTGAAGCTCATCAAGAGGGAAAGCGGGAAAAAGGAGCCAGAACTCATTGGGCTTGTTGAGGACTTTCACAGACACTACCAGTCACTTTATGCCCAATATGAACATCTTAAACAAGAGTCCGGTGATAAAGCGCTCAAGGGGAAAGGAGATGGAAGTTATCCCTATTATTCGTCTGACTCGAATCAGAATATTACTCCGCGGCAGATGTAGAAATCGAAACCGACACTGCATTTGATAACAATAGAAGTTCCCCTAGATGGGTGGCCAACAACATCAAGGAAGAACTTAAATGGGCATATGGAGAAGATACGGACCTGAGGCACGAATTCGCCTCGAGGACCAAAGATAAAGAAGATTTACCTTCGGACCATATGGCCGGTTCAAGTAAAACACAAAAATAGAAACCTTCAGTAAAGATGAAGTAACTAGCTTGAAAACTGAGCTGGAACCTTTGCACCACGAGAGAAGAGATTTGGAAGTTCGGATTGATGGTAAGACAGCTGAAAACAAACAGCGAGGAGAGAAAAATAAGACGATGTATGTGCAGATTCTGGATGAAGGAGATGAAGTAAGTAAACTCATGAAGCAAATCAAAGACAATGAAAACAATCTAAAATCCAGAATTAGCGAATCAATGGTACAGGTCTGCAATCTGAAAAAGGAGGTGGACTTTTTACGTGCCCAACAATTTGATGCCCGAGGAAGTGTAACATGTGAAAGCAATGAATCTTTTGATATTACAAATGTAATGAAGCCGGAATGCGGTTCCCTTCATGGACAGAAAACCGAATTAGAGATTCTACTCGAGAGGAAATCCAAGGAAATATCCCGGTATCATATTCAAGTGAAATCCCTGAAAGAGGAAATAGCTAGAAAGAGTGCTTTTGAGCTGGCAATGGTGGAAGAAAATCGACTGTTGCAGGTGCAGGTGATGCACTTGGATTCGGAGGTGGCTGCTCTAAGCAAACAGAAAATTAAATCAGAAGATGAATTTAGGAGTTATATTCATGAAATCAATCAATTGAGCCAGGAAAATAATCACCTGAATTCCAGAATTCTGGAATTGGAAGCACTATTTAGAGAGAGGGGCCTTGAGATTAGAAGGGTTAATGAAACTGCTCGGATGTATCCCATGGACATGGATAAAAATGCAGAGTTGCAGATTGCCGATCAGCAGAGAATGATGAAAGAAATAGAGGAAAATACATACAACTCCAAGCTTTTCAGACAATTGTCTAAAGGAAACAAGCCTAATTACCATATCCTAGAAAGAAAGATGGAGGATTTAGCACAAGAGTTCTACCAGAAAGTCGACGATAACATCATGCTTTTGAGCCTTAGGATCTCTGTTGCTGAAAAAACACATTACGACAACAAAGAGAGTTACAATAACATGAAAGAAAGGCTAGAGCAAGAAAATGAAGCACTGAAACAAAAGCTTGCCACTTGTGAAGAAGAGTTAGATAAGCTGAAGGATGATGCAGCGGCTCGTTCGAAGTTCATGGTGAACAATGTACGAGTCCATGAAAATCCTGCGACCCGCATTCTGAAAGCCGTGGGAGAGCTTGTATCTACTAAGAAAAACAGAAAAGAGAAGTTGAAGGGTAATGTGGATTTATTTGTGGCAGAAATGGATAAGGAAAACAAGGCGGTCTCGAATGCGGAAGCTAGATTGTACGAGGAAGAAGAACAGAAGTCGAAGCTGTTGAAAGCTGTGAGCATGCTTGAGAATAGGGTGGTGGAATTGGAGAAGATTAACAAAGAAAAAGATGAGGCATTGTTGAGCCGTGCAGAAGAGAAGAGGGAATCCATAAGGCAGCTGTGTTTGTTGATAGAGTACCACCGTAGCCGCTGTGACCATCTCAAGGACTTGGTCTCAAAGTTGATTGTTAGAATCTAAGAAAAAGACATTAACCTTTCTTTTTTCCCTTCAAATCTTGAAATTCTTTCATTTTTAGAGGAACATAACGTTGTCTGAAGTGTTACCAGCACATTGTTTTCCACAATAAATCTGTGTTTCATTAATTTTTGGGTAAGTTACGCGTTTAGTACTTAAACTATCAGTTTTGGTATATTTTAATAACTAAATAATTTTTTCAAAACCATACCTAAATTTTAGTTTTTGTTTCATTTTGGTACCCTTCAGTTAAAAACTTAAGTTTTTATTTCATTTTAGTACTTGTTCAAAATTTACATTAAGTTTTGAAAAAAATGCAAGTTTAGGTACTAAAACGGACTAAAATTGATAGTTTAGGCATTAAACATGATAAGTTTTTAACGGCGGAGTACTAAAATAAAATAAAAATTAAATGTTGGGTATGATTTTGAAAAAAATAAAAGTTTAAGTCTTAAAACAAACTAAAATTGATAGATTAAGTATTGAATGTATATTTTACTCGTAACTTTTCGTAAAAAAATGATTTTTTTTCGTATGTAGTTTTATACTTTATATTAATTGATTTGAAAGGCGTAATATCAAAATTAACTCTCAATGTTTATTAAAATGATCATTTTGGTTTTAATTTTTTAGAGTATTTTGACTCTTAATGTTTTATTTTAGGGAAAAAGACCCTTAACAAGTGATAAAATGATCACTTTGACTCTTATTATTTTTTTAGAGTATTCTGACTCTCAACGTTTTATTTTAGGGTAAAATGAAACGTTGAGGTCTAAATACTTAAAAAAAATGAACATAAATCAAAATAACTATTTTAATAAATATTAGAGAATAATTTTGATATTATGTCATTTTTAAAATAGTAATATATCAATCTATTTAATGAATTAAAAATAATTAATCAAATGATCAATTATTGTATGTAGGAATAAATAGAAAATTTATACACCAGTGTCCCATATAATACATAAATTTTGATTTGATACAATTATGTTGATGAAAATTTAATTTTAATTCAATTATACAGATAAACTTTTATTTTGTTTCAATTGTTTTTTTTAAAGTACATACATGCATATATTTTCTATTGAATTAATTCTTTGTATTTATAATATGCAGATGTAAAATGATGCAATTATTGATAATTACGTTAGAAATTTATGAAAAATGAAGCAAGTTAAAATTTCGTGTATATAATTGCACAAAATCAAAGTTTGTATATACAAATACACATTTAACAAAAATTCAGGTACAATTTTGAGAATTATCCCTTGTATGATATTACTATAAATAATATCGTTAATGAACTTAGTAACTATTGAGGTAACATAATTGAAATAAGGGTTAATTACATAGTTGATAATTTATATTTGTGTTTTGTTTATTTTTTTACTGATTTTAAAAATATGATATAAATAATTTTATTTTTATTTAATTAATATGTAGACGCAACGAGTTAATTATCGTTAAATATTTTGATATAATCACATATGTGGTCCTTATTATTTATATATTCTCTCAATATAGTTTTACTTTTAATAAATTTAATCCTCTAATTGAATGATGTCATGTGTCACTGGTACCATATGTCACAATTCGGTTGGAAGACTAACTTTTCAGAGTATTGGTAGAAAGTAAATATATTAAATTAAAATAAAGTTAGTCCTCCAATTAAATGATAATACGTGACACCAGTGACACGTGACACCATTAACACATATCATTCGATTGAAAGATTAAATTTATTAAAAGTATGATTAAATTGAGAGAATATATAAATAATTAACCAAATGTGTGATTATATCAAATACCACGTCACATAATATGTTAATTGTTAATGATTATTAACTCATGATGATCACATCTTAATTAAATAAAAATGAAAGTAATTATATCTCAGTTAAATATAAACAAAAATAATTATGTTATTTTTTAAATAAATAAATAAAAATAGACAAAATATAAAGATAAATGATGACAACATATAGTTAATTCAGATAACTTGAAATAAATGTGAAAATCGAAAACAGCAAAAAGCGCGGGAAAAATTGATTATTTCTTTTGATAAAAAGGAATAAAATCATCTCACGTTTTCTTCGGACGAGAAATTGAAGAAACCGGGGGGTATAATTGCAATAAAAAACAAAATGAAGGGTAATTGATGAAAAGAACTTCTATAGATTCAATTTAAAGCTAAGGAAAGTGCTCTGAATCAAATACAAACAAAATTATTTTCTCCATTTATTTCTTTTCACTGGAAATTTTCATTTCTGATTTTAAAAGGAAAAAGACTCTGTTTCTCAGAGTTTCTTTCTTGGTAACCAACCAGCTCGAAGGTAATCTTTTCTTATCAATTGATTAATCATCACTGTGTTTTCTCTTTTGATTACTTAGTGAAAATCTTCGTTCATACAATGAATTAACTTAGTTTTGTTAGTTGAATTTTATCTCTTATTTTTTTTCTCTGTTGTTTTCATGATTTTGTAAAATAACTTTAGTTTACAGTCACTCGTTTTCTTAAACATGAAAATTAACTTGGATCCTTTTTTTTCTTGTTGAAATTTCTATTGTATTTTGTATATGGATTTCCAGACATCTTCATATTTTTTGTTTTTTTCCCGGTGATTTGAGATTGTGAATAGTCAATGAAATTCTTCTTCACCTTTTAAAAAAATTCCAGATTTTTCTTCTTTTATATTTATATATATTAAATTTAGTATTTTACTCTTTTAATTTGAACTAAAGAAAATCTGTTTGCTTCTGTAGAAACTTAGCAAAGCTTCATACGCAAGACTGAGAAAACAAGGTGTATAGGAGGTGCGAGGTTAATAATTCCAAATACAACTGTTTAGTTTTTTATATGAAGTTAGAAAGTTTTTCTTGCTTACTGTTATTTTGTTTTATTTTTGCTCATTTGGTAACATAAAAAGCTTTTGAGTAATTGAGTGATAATTAATTGGGCCTTGCCTTATGTTTTCTGAAACGGGAAAAAGAAAAAGGGAAGAACAGCTGATTATTTTCGACTAGGTAAATTTCTGTTCGGTGATGTTGGTGACGTTTTTAGCCTTTTATTCCTTGTAATAATCTAATCAAAATCATTAGTGATGTTTATAATACTTTGAAATTATCTAGTAACTCCATGGATTTGAGTACGTGGACCCATAGTTCTACAATCATGCTGGTGGATTTTTTTCAAATAAATAAATTTTCTGATTAATCCTATACATCAGTTGATTAGATCGCAAGTTTCCAACATAACCAATTAAGTTCACAAATATTGTTGCTTTTAGAGTTTGTCATTTCTAGATGGATTGTAAACAAAAAGAAAGGAAGAAAGAATGAAATTGGGGTTTGATATGGTTTATTTTAAAAATAGGCGTATCTAAAGTATTTTTTTAGTAAAAGTAGGTTCTCAAAAGTTTATCATATTTTTGTCTAATTTCCTCAAATATTTTTTTTAAGAGAAAATAATCTCAGTGAAAAAAAATGTCTTATAATATACAATTTTAACTAATTTTTTTTAGATTTGTCAAAATATCTAACTAAATCGCAATGCGATCGATAATTCGTAACGCGATCTTCGGTATCGCAAATCATTTTCTAGATTCGCAACGCGATTTTCTAAATTCGTTGTGATAGTCCAAGTTCGCGTTGCGATTTATTTCAAATTCGTTGCGATAGTCGAAGTTCGCGTTGCGATAGTCCAAGTTTGTTGCGATAGTCCAAGTTTGCGTTGCGATTTATTCCAAGTTTGTTGCGATACTCGAAGTTCGCGTTGTGATTTATTTCAAGTTCGTTGCGATAGTCGAAGTTCGCGTTGCGATTTATTTTAAATTCGTTGCGATAGTCCAAAATCGCAACGACTGATGGTATTGCATTTGTTTCTTAAGAATTTTCTCTAAAAAGATAGTATTCGTGCGGACGTGTCGAAGACACGTATAACCACGACCCGAGACGAGACGGACGACGGCGGCGGCGGCGCGCGAGAGTCCCCCTTGTTCTCTATCACTCAACAAGGAAGTGGGAAAGCCAAGTCTTAAATACCATTCCCAATGGTGTTTTCGATACTATGTGGGATTGAGCATTACTAACACTTGTTCCTAATACTATGTGAGATTGAGCTTTAAATAGTGATATTATTTGTGAATTATAGTTAATGACTTTAGTATTTGTATGAAAAGTATTTGTGGTTTGTTTAGTTTTCATGTAATTTTAATTTATTTTCAATTAATTGTAATTACAAGATAACAATTATTTTTATTCTCGCGAGTGATGCAATTTTTTTTTGAATGTTTTGCTTAAAATTGTAATAATCGCGATTGATTGTAGATTGATTTTTAATTATGACATATTTAATCGTATAATACTAATGTAATTGGTTGTTGATTTAGTTGTTTTAAGGTGCATGATTGTTAATTGTTTCCTAAATAATCACATAGTATTGGAAACAAGTGTTGGTAATGCTCAATTCCACATAGTATTGGAAACACTATTGAGAATGATATTTAAGGCTTGGTTTTCCCACTTTCTTGTTGAGTGATAGAGAAATAAGGGGGACTCTTGTGCTGCGCCTCCGCCGCCGTCTCTTCTCGTCTCGTGGTCGTGGTCGTGGTAATACGTGTCTTCGACACGTCCGCGCGAATACTATTTTTTTAGAGAAAATTCTTAAGAAACAAATGCAATATTACCAGTCGTTGCGATTTTGGACTATCGCAACGAATTTGGAATAAATCGTAACGCGAACTTTGACTATCGCAACGAATTTGTAGTAAATCGCAACACGAACTTGGACTATTGCAACAAATTTGGAATAAATCGCAACGCGAACTTGGACTATCGCAACGAATTTGGAAAATCGCAACGCGAACTTCGACTATCGCAACGCGAACTTGGACTATCGCAATGCGAATATGTAAATCGCAATGCGATAGTCGAAGTTCGCGTTGCGAATCTGGAAACTGATTTGCGATACCGGAGATCGCGTTGCGAATTATCGATCGCATTGCGATTTAGTTGATCATTTTGGCAAATCCAAAAAAAGTTGGTTAAAATCGTATATTATAAGGCATTTTTGGTCATTGAGGTTATTTTCTCTTTTTTTAATCACCCACCAAGGCAGGTGTTCGACCCGGGTCGGTCCAGATTAGTCAGGACGAAACCTTGGAACCAGGAGAGCAACCCAAAAAAGATACTTCACCTTTTTCATCTAGGTATCTAAAGTGGTATTGATAAAAAAATATACTTCGGATACCTAGATGAATAAGTTGATATAGATTAGGTACCTATTTTAACAAAAAAAATACTTTAGGTACTTGTATGAAAAAGATAAGATGCTTTTGATACTTAGATGAAAAATGTGATACACTTTACGAACTTATTTTTGAACTAAGCTTTTGATATATATTAATAGTTTCTTCCTGCTCAGAAATTAGTACAGAAAAGATTTTCTTTTAGGGGTGGTTAATTTGTTTCACTGGTTTTGTCTGTGGTAATGGGAGTAAATAATGAAATTGTTAGACACGATACCATTGTAGCATATTAGAAAGAAAACAATTAAAACACAATGCAAATAACATATGAATTGAATACATTAATTTCAAAATTTATATAAATATGAATTATTAAAATATCAAAATTTGTATAAACATATATGAATACAGCAAATTTTTATCAATATATGGTAGTGGCTCTGGGACCACTGTATCTGTAGATTCTATATAGCTTTGTGGGAGACTTTCATGGATCAACATTTATTGGAACTTAATGCTCACTTGCTCATTAGGTGCGAAAAGATGGGAAAATGTTACGCATTAAATATTGGTAGATTTCTTTTTGCCGATCTTTCTGGATTTTTTGGAATTAAATTGGTATGTGCATGATGGAAAAGTTCAGTTGGATCGTTGCAATACTTTTATTTTCATTTTAAAGCAAACTGATCTATCAGAAATCACCAAAGTTTTCTGTTTAAGTAGATTTCCTACATTTTTTTCTTATGAATTAAGAGTTTTTAGCATTTGGGTTTCGAGTGTTTTCTCTATCAGTTAGCAGGAGCCTCTGTCCAAGCAATACCATCGTTTAGAGTTCTCATGACAATATGCTTACAATTTCCGCAATCAATCTGCTCATGTTAGGAGTTATTTTGTATACTTGCTGGTTCACTAGTCATCGTTAACCTTAATTCTGCTTTTCAGATTTAGTCTCGAATGGAGATTTGCCTTGTCGTCGGACACAGTTGCTGAGCAAAATTAGTTTGTGATCTAACTTAAGAGATGGCAAGGCATCGTTTTAGAGAGTCTATAAAGTCATTCTTCGGGCATCATGTTGATCCAGAAAAGGATGAACAGCTTAAAGGAAGTAAAATAGGTAATTTTCTATATTTTTAATTGTATCTTCTGAGTGCAATTTTGCATTTTAATGATAATTTCGGTTCATGGATATTTCGAAATGCCACCAAAACATTTTTAACCGGATTTTCCATTTATGCTACTGCTTAGTTTTGTTTTAATTTCATGCTTATATATTCCGTTGGCAGTAATCGACGACAAGGTGAAATAAATATTGAAGCTCATCAAAAATGAAGAAAATGACTCGAATAAGGAACCACTTGTTGAGTTAATTGAGGATTTCAACAAATATTATCAAAGTCTTTATGAACAATATGATCATCTCACGGGAGAGCTGAGAAGAAAAGTTCATGGAAAACTAGAAAAAGATGCCTCGTCCTCATCAAGTTCAGATTCAGACTCCGATCATTCTTCGGAAAACAGAGGCAGTAAAAATGGGAAAGTAGAAAGTGAATCTCAGAAAATGGCAGACAGCATTAAACAAGAACTTGAAGCAGCGAATATGGAAATTGCTGATCTTAAGAGGAAGATGACGGCTACAAGTGAAGAAAAAGATGCTTTGAATTCGGACTATCTGGCCTCTTTAAGCAAGGTGCGAGAACCGGAGGAAATCATAAAAAGTCTGAAGCTTGAATCTAAAAGATCAGAGAACAAAATATCACAACTTATGGTTGAGATTGAAGATCTCAGAAGAGAAGTTGATCCGCTGAAAGAGGAAAATATAACCGTAAAGCAAGAGCTAGAAAGTGTTAGGGGCGAGGTTTCTGACCTGCAACCAAAGCTGGAATGTGCAGAAAATCAAGTTACAGAATTGAGCTACAATCTTAATGCTACGGTAGAAGATAATAAATCCCTCCACTCAAAACTTTCTGAGGCTTTGAATGAGGTTCAGCAGGCACAGGATAAAATACAAGAACTCATGACTGGATTGAGTCGGTCAAAAGATGAACTAGTTGAGAAAGAAGAAGTTTTGAATCTAAAAGAGTTACACGAGGTGCATGTGAATCAATCATCTGCTCAGATAAAAGAACTAGAGGCACATGTGGCAAGCTTGGAACTTGAGTTGGAATTGTTGCAAGCAGCAAGCAGAGATATGGCGGCGCAGATAGAGAACAAAGCAAGTGAAGCAGAACAGCTGGGAGAGCAGAATATAGGACTCCAATCCAGAATTTCAGAACTTGAGATGATGTCAAAAAAGGGAGAAGAAGAGCTAGAAAGACAAATTAACAATCAGCAGAGAATGCTAGAGGAACAGGGAGAGTCGTATAAGAAGTTGACTGGTATGCCAACAGGTTGAGTGCTTATACCAAGATTGCAAGGAAAATCTTGAAGTTGCAGAAAGGAAGATACAAGAAAGGTCGGAAGAAATTGAATCTAAAAAACAGATGGCAGCTGATCTTAAGCAAATGGTTGACGACCTTCAAAGGGATTTGGAAGCAGAGAGAGATGAGAAAAATGATTTAGTGAGCCAGATTACAGATCATCAGATAATGCTGAAAGAACAAGAAGATGCATTTAACAAGCTAAGCGAGGAGTACAAACAACTTGAAGCTTCATTTGAAGACTGCAAGGCAATTATCGAAGTCACAGAAATGAAAATGCAAGAAATGGCCGGAGAGCATGATAAGAGTGTTCAATGCAAGGACCAAACGGTAGCTGATTTGGAGCAAATTATCGAGGACTTGAAGAGGGATTTAGAAATGAAAGTAGACGAGCTCAGTACTTTCACCGAAAATGTCCGCACAATTGAAGTTAAGCTCCGTTTGTCAAACCAAAAACTTCGAGTCACAGAACAGTTACTAACAGAGAAAGAAGAGAGCTTCAGAAAAGCAGAAGCCAAGTTCCTGGAAGAACAAAGAATGCTTGACGAAAGGATCACGGCATTGTCTGGAATAATTGCTGCAAACAAGGAAGCCTATCACAGAATGATCACCGATATCTCAGAGAATGTGAACATACCTTGACTGGATTTGAAGCTGTCATCCATAAATTCGAACAAGGCTATAGAAAGTACGAGCATTGTGTCGAAGAAACATCAAAAGAGCTAAAGATTGCTAAGCATTGGGCTGAAGAAACAAAGAGGGAGAAGCAGCAGCTTATAAATGAAATGACTAATTTGATTGAGCAGCTGAAAGATCAGAAAGAACAAGGATCTACATTACGAGAACGAGTCAGAAGCTACAGATTAAGGCGAACAAGGAAGAAGAGGAGAAGGATAATCTGCTGAAAAACGTGAAGCAACTGGAGAATAAGGTCGACTTCTTGGAGGGGGCAATGAAAGAGAAGGATCAAGGTATATTAGGTCTAGGGGAGGAGAAGAGGGAGGCCATCCGGCAGCTCTGCATTTGATCGATTATCACCGCAGCCACTGTGATGACCTGAAGGAAATACTGTCGAAAACGGTCCGAGTACAAAGGGCAGCGTAGAGTAAGCTGCTTATATCTTCCATTACATTGTCATGTCCTTTCTGGTTTTGCATTTGTGAATTGGTTTTCATTATTTCATTTTTTTTTTAAAAAACTCTCAAGTTGGCTGTTGATATTAGAAATACATTTTCAGGTGATCTCCGGAGAACATGTCTCGTAAAACCTAAAGATTGTATGACTTCAGTATCAGATTTTTTTTACATTATATGTTTTTTTGGGATAAATATTAGGGTAAATTACGCATTTAGTACTTAAATTACCAATTTTAATCCGTTTTAGCATTTAAATTTTCAATTTTTTTCAAAAGCATACCTAACGTTAGATTTTTATTTCATTTTAGTACCCGATGCTAAAACTTATTGCGTTTAGTATCTTAACTATCGATTTTGGTCTGTTTTAGTACATAAAATTTCATTTTTTTAAAAAATTTAACGTTAAATTTTGAATAGTTATTAAAATGAAACAAAAATTAAAGTTTTTAACGGCAGGATATGAAAATGAAACAAAAATTAAATTTTAGGTATGATTTTGAAAAATTTAAAATTTTAGGTATTAAAACTAATTAAAATTGATAGTTTAAATACAAAATACGTAATTTACCCTAAATATTATTTTCAAGTGTGTTTATAGTGAATAGATAGATGGAGAGTGAGATGTGAATAAATTTGCTTCAAGTAATGAATTTTCGCCTCTGTTGTGTTTTTGGAAAATCTTAGGGAAAGCTTTCGAAATGGGAAAATAGGTAACCAGTTTTCTCGATCACATCAGAAAATTTGGTATATACGTAGCTTAATTGATATAGTGTAAAAGAATTAGAAATTTTGAAATATGATAAAAATGTGGTAAAATTTTGTATCAATGCGATAGCAGGTCAGAAAATAAAATTTAGTTGGATTAGTTAGTGGAATAATATAAATTTTGGTAAGGATTAGGGATTTTGGAATGTAATATAAAATTTGATTAAGTGTCATAAATTTTTATATTAAATATTAGCGTTATTATTTAGTTCTGTTTAACAACCGTGACTTTCTAAAAGTACTTTTAGTTAAAAAAAGTATATTTTTAACTAAAAAATTAATATCAAATGAGTAAAAAGTAAAAAAAAAATGTAGTGGAAATTGTGATTTTAAATTAACCGTAAAAGTCTACTTTACTTTTGAATGCAAATTATTATTTTATCCTTACTCTCAATTATATATTTACATTTCATTTTAATAATTTAATAATATCGTCTTTATAAATTATTTAATTACTTAAAAGTAAATAAAATTTATGATTTATATATTAAAATGTTAATAGTGAGTATTATAAAATATATTTATATTATAATTACATTTTTATTTGTATTTTTTAATATTTTTATTATGGTTTATATTGATATAATTCATATATAATAATAATTTTTTCATGTATTATAGTTTAAATTGATATGATTCATATATAAATGTAAATATAATTTAAATGTTATATTTTTAATTTACAACATAATATCTATAATGAATATTTTATCTTTTCAAACTCTCTTTTTAATAGCAATTTCACATAGTTAAATTTTAAACTGCACTTGTGTATAACGCTTTTAAAAGTTCATTTATGGAACAATTTTAAAAGTCACTATTCAAAAGTTGCACCAAACTGACCCTTAGTTTAATTAAAAAAAGTAAGTGTTTAAATTATTTTTATTTAAGTATTTTAATTTTTGGGTAAAGTATAGTAATGATCATTGAATATTTCTGAAGCTTGCATTTAGGTCCCCCAACTTTTAAAACTTACAATACAGTCCCCCAACATTTATTCCGTTTGCAATATGGTCCCAAACTTAAATCACTATTAGAAAATTAGGGTAAATTATATAAACGGTCATTGAACTTTTCAGGCACTTGAATTTAGGTCCCCAACTTTTAAAACTTGCAAAACAGTCCCCCAATAATTTTATTTTCTTATTAAATATAGATGTATAGAAAATATAAATGATTCAATTTATATTTAAATGTATGAATCATTTATATTTTTGATATTTTATTTTTCTTGTATAAACAGTATTTAAATATGTTTATATTTTAATCAAAATATTTCAATATACGAATAAAAATATATTTATATAATGTATATTTATATTTAGATGTATAAATAAAAAACATATTCATATATTAATGTATGAATCATTTATATTTTTTGAATATTTTATTTTAATAAGAAATTAAAATTATTAATTATATTAGAAATACTCAACTTAAGATTATATATAATCATGAATTATAAATATGAAAAATATAATTATTAAATTTAGTTTAAAAATATATAAATCTTAAATTTATTCTTTTAAAATATTGTATCAACTAATATTTAAAAAATATTAAATCTATCAAACAATTTATCAATATAATATTTTCATTGTAAAAAATATAATATTTTCCCATCATTATTGCTTTCAAATTTTTTGCCGAAGTTAAAATCTCATTATTTCCATTTTCCATTATATCTTTTTTTTCTGGCATTGATCATACTATTAGTATATGTATTATTGTATATCTCTTAACACAAACGATGATGTTAGCTTAGTGGCTCCACTCTGTATCTTTCATTTGCGTGACTCAGGTTTGAGTTTGCCCAAGACCCAAATTTTACTTCTTTGTAACTTAATTTTCTTCTAATTAGGTGGTGACATGTGTCACCAATAACATATATCATGATCATGTGTTAACACATGTCAGATCCTGGTTAAATGATTAATTTATTAAATTTTATTTAATTTAGGACCAAATTGATAGCATATATAAATAATTAGGTGGTGACATGTGTCACCAATGACATGTGTCATGATCATGTGCTAACACATGTCAGATCCTAATTAAATGATTAATTTATTAAATTCTATTTAATTTAGGACCAAATTGATTATATAAATAATAAAGACTGAATGTATAATAATGTCAATTCCTTTTAACTGCCACTTCATCATTTGTATCAATTGGTAACGACTAGTGGCTTAGTTGAAACAGTTAAATAATTATGTTGTATGATTGATAAATTTAAAAGATCGATGACAAAAGTAAAAAGGACTAGATAGTTAAGTTGTCAACCTAGTAGTTTACACTTTTATTTATACGTCAAAATAACATTTTATAAATTTAAAATTCGAATTATTTTCAACCTCTTCTATATCCTAACTACTTTTTTTAATTAAAAAATTTCTTCAACAGATAAGAATTATACTATTATATTTATATAAAAAATACGTATCACATGAAATAAGATGAAATTAAATAATAATAAATCTGACATAATTGAATTTAATTGAATTATTTTGGAATTTAGGGTTTAGAATGAAATTGAATTACTTTGGAAATTGGGGTTTAGAATGAAATTGAGGACTGTTTTGCAAGTTTTAAAAGTTGGGGGACCTAAATTCAAGTGTCTGAAAAGTTCAATAACCTTTTATATAATTTACCCTAATTTCTAACGGTGGTTTAAGTTGGGGGACCATATTGCAAATGGAATAAATGTTGGGGGACTGTATTGCAAGTTTTAAAAGTTGGGGGACCTAAATGCAAGCTTCAGAAATGTTCAGTGACCATTACTATACTTTACCCTTAATTTTTTTGTTAAAATATATGTTTAATACATATTTTATTTTATTGTCGTTTTGAGGTTGATTCATTAATGTCCATTAAAAAAGTCATTTATTATTAAAAACATAGAACACATCGAAAACGAGGAATTTTAAAATGGGATAGCAAACGGCAGGAGCTTCAGGAGCAACGACAGTGCCAACCAAGGTGAAGAAGGGGATAAGATCATCTGTTGGTGAATGAACTCTGTTTGTCGACAACCTTAGTAAACGAGTTTCGAGGCCTGCCCTGAAGGAATTGATCAATTGATATGGCGAGGTAGTGAGATTATTTATTCCGGTGATTAACAAGAGTGTAAGGTATCAAGAGTCAACCTTTGCTTTTGTATCAGTAACTAGTGAAGAGACTTTGAATACTGTTATTAAGAAGATGGACAACTCTCTCATTGATGGACCATCCCTCGGTGATTATTCAAGAGGAAGTCTGAGGTTTAGGAGCAGATTTATGCATTCCTCATGGTGATAATGATTGGATGACGGCATGCTTGTGTGGTTTAATGAAAAAAGCTTTTGATCAAGAGCTAATTCAACAGGCTCTCCTTCAAGATGGTATTGAGGTGAAAGTAGTAAAATGGGGTATCGATAATGACTCATATATTATTTGGCTCAAGAACGTTATAGAGATGGAGGAGAGCTGGGACTTGAAGAAAGAAGCTGTAGACATCCGTTTTTATCTGGGTCTACCAAAAATATTATTATTATTATTATTATTATTATTAATTTTGTTTACAACTTTTGCAGGCCACTACAAGCTCAAATAGA